ATTTGCAGTGGCAAGGCGCTGCTTTTCCGGACGTTTGGCAAAGCCGAGCAGATGCCGTCTCGTCGGAGAGATGGAGGAGTGAAGAGTCTCCAGGACATCATTACGTTGTTCAAGGAGACCGACCCAGACGACGTGCCTGCATTCGTGGCGAAGGAGCTGCATAAGCTGCCCCCTGTCACGTTCGACCACGTCGACGTCACCAGGCTGCTGAAGGACATCACGTCCCTAAAAGCAAGCCTTACTGAAGTTCAGTGTAAGTTGGAGGCCTCAGACAACACCATCAGTGAGTTGCGTGCCCAAGTTGTATTACTTAGTAGTGCGGCTTCGGTAAGTAGGTCACCTGAGGCCTGCAACGTGAACACTTGCCGCGGGGCGCAAAATGCTTCTTTCAGCAGTTTTGAGTCGGCTCACATGCATGTGTCACCGACCTCTGGCGCTGTTGCCGCGCGCGTTTCCCCGCACCCCGCCCCGCCGGAGACGACCCCTTCACGTGATTACGCAGCTGTTGCCGCTGCCCGACCCAGTACTCCACAACCACAACCCAGGCAACCAATGAAGGGAAAACTGAAAAAGAAACTCGTATCTGGAGCTGCGTCGTCAGTACCACCGAGACGAGTTGATCAGTGCGACGAGGACGGCTTTCGGAAGGTGGAAAAGAAAAAGAAGAACATCAGCCGAAACCTTAGTGGCACCGCCCTGACTGGCCCGAATCATTTATTGCGTCCAGCGGTACCGACGACGTTGTTATACGTGTCGCGTCTTCATTACTCCACCAAGTCTGCGGATATTGTGGAGTACATGCGAGTGAAGGCCAATGCAAACCTGAGGGTTGAGCGGTTGGAGTCGCGCCACAATGTGAATTTTAATTCATTTGTGGTGCAAGTACCAACTCAACACCTGTCGACCTTCATGAGAGAAGACTTTTGGCCGAAGGGTGTCATATACCGGCGTTTCCGAGGACGGCTACCGGACACCCACGTTGCGTCACACGTCGAAGTACATACGTGTAAATAAATAGTGTTATATGTATATTATCATGTTATATTGTATTTATGATTAGTCCGTAAGGTATTTATTTAATATTTCTGTTATTGTTTTATTATATTAATGTTATATTATATGTATGTTAGTCTGTAAGGTATGTATCTATGGGTCCTAGTTGCCTGAAATAAATAAATAAATAAATAAATAAAAAATAAAATTGGAAGCATTAATCTATTTATGTGACGTAATAAAAATTTTAATGGAATGTCTCTCAGACTATGGAACCCTTTTTTCCATTCTCTATGGAATGTCTTGACGGCGTTCAAAAAAATCAGAGCAACGTATGTGCCATAGTTTTTTAATTTACTTCGAGTGACCTAGACAAACTCAAGCAGCCAGTAGGTACTTGCCCTAGTTTGTGTCAAAAGTTGAATACCTAAGTGAAACCATTGAGTTGTTATTTAAATCTATGAGTGAAACAAACAACAAGAACAACACTTAAAAATAATCGGAAAGACAAAAACGATATAATTATAATTTATCTTTAGGTACATTATAACCTAATAATTACGCGTGTCAATATTCCCATAAGGACCATAATTTATAATATTAAAAATAATTCTAATACTACTTGTAGAGACGAGACCTCTCGGTGGGATCCAGGTTATTCGGCATTGAATCGACAACATACATCAAAACTGACACTGGCCGGAACCTAGTGGCCGCCATTAAGGAAATAATAATAACTTTAAACTTTTCCTTTTCAGCTAAACTTAAAATGCGCGCTAAAACAATTGTAAGTTGACCATAGACTATATAAGTTTTTAAAACAAAAAAGTTATTTTTTGTTTAGTGAGTGGTAAAAACCGCACATATTTTTAGGCCAATCCAATTAAAGTAAATCAAGGCTGGATTCGAACCAGCACCTTCCAGCAATCCGTGATAGATACTCTAGATCACATGTGGGCAACATGCGGCCCGCGGGTCGCATCCGGCCCGCTGTAAGATATAATCCGGCCCGCGAGACATTTTGAAAAAAAAAACTCAATGAAAAAATATTAAACTAGGTACTTACACTCACAGCGACAGTGAAACCCCAAACATCTAATCCTTTGATGTTTGCCGCCTCACTCTTTGATAATCGCCGCCACTCGGCTTACTCGATCAAAGTCTTTGATGTTTGCCGCCCGACGCCTCACGGGCGGCAAACATCAAAGACTTATTGCTTCTCAATTATTCTAAAACTAGTTTATTCCAGAATATTCCTTCATTTTGCCTATATAAGCGGGTGTATGGCCCGAACATTTGTGCAGTTCTATTCGAGCTACCGAGGTGATAACTTCGACAAGCGATATTCTAGCGAACTGTTTGAGCCGTGACCTTTGTGTGCATCTTGAGTGGTTGTGTACTAACTATAGTTTGTATTGTTATTAAGTTTAAAGAACGAAAAGTTAAGAAAAATGATGTCTGGTGGAAAAAAACGTAGATACAGAGGGACGCCAGTTTCAAGAAAAATGGACTGAAGAATTCTTTTTTATTTTGCACAATGGTAAGCCTATTTGTTTGCTGTGTAATGAATCCATTTCAGTAATGAAAGAATTCAATATAAAGAGGCTTTACTTAACTAAGCATACTGCGCTACACTCACTGACAGAACAATTAAGAACAGACAAAATCCAGAAGCTTACAGCAAATTTGGAGAAACAGCAACAAATGTTTCATAAACAAAGAACACAACTTGATAATGTTGTGAAAGCTAGTTTTATAGTTAGCTCAAAATTGGCAAAGGCATTAAAACCATTTGCCGAAGGAGAATTTATTAAGGAGTGTATGTTAGAAGTTTGCAGTGTTTTGTGTCCTGAAAAGAAAAATGAATTTGAAAAAATTAGTTTGTCAAGACCATTGACTTACAATATGGACGTCGGGTCCGCGCTAAAAAGTGTCCGCACTTGTAAGGCGCTAAAATCGTATACAGAGCGCGAAACTCCGCTTTAGTCTTCATTTGTTCGACTGACAGCGCGATACTGCGATGACATTACAATTTAAATTTCGAATAGGTTGACTTGGGACATTTTTTTCGTGGTTTTTGTATTAGACCCGTCGTCCATTTATTTGTAAGTCAATGGTCAAGACGAACCGTTGTTCGACGTATAGAAATGATGGCTAATGATATAAAAACAACATTGACTGACCGTATGGCTGGTTTTGAATCATTTTCCATAGCATTAGACGAGAGCACGGATTTGTCGGACACAGCTCAACTGGCTATATTTATTCGAGGTGTTGATAAGGAGTTCACTGTTACTGAGGAATTGCTTGCTTTACAGCCGCTAAAAGGAACCACTACAGGGGAGGATATTTTTAATGAAGTTCAAAAGGTATTCACAAGATTTGGCTTGCCATGGTCAAAATTAAAGGGAATATGCACTGATGGTGCACCTTCTATGGTCGGCTTACGTAAAGGTTTCATCGGAATTTTAAATGAAAAAGCAACAGCATTAAATGTGCAAAAAGATGATTTGATAGTCATTCATTGCATTATCCACCAACAGAACTTGTGTTCTAAGTCCATTCGACTCCAGCATGTTATGGATGTGGTAGTAAAAACCATCAATTTTATTCGATCTGGAGGGCTTAACCATCGTCAGTTCAAGGGGTTCTTGGATGAAATATCCGCTGAATATAACGACGTAACATATTATTGTGAAGTCAGATGGCTGAGCAAAGGAAAAATGTTGAAACGGTTTTACGAGCTTAGAAATGAGATAGCAGACTTAATGAAAATAAAAGATAAACCACTATCTGAATTGAGTGACCCAAAATGGATATGTGACTTAGCATTTCTGGTCGATCTAACAGGCTATTTGAATGATTTAAATTTGAAACTACAAAAACAAGGACAGTTAGTAAATGATTTGTACAGCCATTTGAAAGCATTTCAGGTCAAACTGCGCTTGTGGGAGTCACAGATGCTATCTGGTAATAGTTACCATTTCAACACGCTCTCTACGTATGAAAATATTGCTTATGCTCAATATGCTGAAGAACTCAAGTTACTGTCGGAACAATTTTCGAACAGATTTAGCGATTTCAAAAACATGGAAGACTGTTTCAGTTTATTTGCAAATCCAACAATAAGTAATGTACAAAATGCTCCAATACACTTACAAATGGAGTTGATCGAAATTCAAGAAAACTCACTCCTAAAATCTAAATTTGAAGAAGTAGAGTTGTGCGATTTCTACAAAGAATACCTAGAAGAATTCAATTTTCCGCAGCTTAGAAAATTCGCAAGAAGATTGATTTGTGCTTTTGGCAGTACTTATAAATGCGAACAGTTCTTTTCGATGATGAAAATTAATAAATCAACACATCGTACAAGACTGACTGACGATAATTTGGAAAATTCTTTACGTGTTTGTATCAGTGGAATTAATCCAAATATCGATGGATTAGTTTCCCAAATTCAAGCTCAAGTGTCTCATTGATTGACTTTCGTAGTTTGTAGCAATTGCAAATTTATCGATTTACCGAAATGATGTTGTACCATTTTTTTAAATTTCATTTTTTAAATAAATTGTACTAGTACTAGAATAACATTGTGATATTATTTTATGTCTGACATCTATTGACACTAATTACTTCAAAATGCACTAAGCAGTTTTAAACGCGGCGCGCGAACCTATTTGCATACTAAAGTTTGGCCCTCAACATGTTAAAGGTTCTGCTCTAGATGGATTGCTGGAAGGTGCTGGTGGATTCCAACAGAATCCAAGGAATTTTTCTTAGTGTTTCGATCTTTTAGTTAATAATTATAACAAAGTAGTGGAGTAATTTCACAAAAAAAATTGAATATCATTACAGTAAAACATAGTAACAGTCAACAAACTTAAAAATTACACTCTATTTACTATTTTGTGAGTATGTACAATTTGATTTTACATCTTAACTAAAACTGTTTTTTCTACACACAATGTCATAAACCCTCTATGATGTGTTCAAAAAGCGCAAATTACGACCAGCATAAAGATAAACTGTTTTGTTAGAACAAATTTCTTACCTGTCAAAATGTTATTATTGGTCATCGAGTATATAACCCTTAGAGGATGGAAAAAAAAATAAAAGAAATATAACCCTTAGACTTTTTCATCCTCTATGACATAACCAGAAATAGAGACGTAATGTCATTTAATTTGTTTGAAAACTATTCTGCCATGTCATACTGTGACAATCCGATTGGCTAGCCCGAATTCGAAACAGTTAACGGGTGTCATCAAATGTTTCACGTCAAAACGACCAGTTAACTTGAGCTTTGCTATATAATGGACGAAAATTGCAGAATTACTGTATTTAATTACCGATGAAATTTGATTCCGTTTGTTTTGTAATTAGATGTTTTGCTGTTTTTCCCACACCACCGAATAGAACAGCACGGCATCGTTAGAGATATTATCTTTATTACAATAAATATACAATATTTTTGGAATATACGGAGACGGTACACACAGGTCAGTTGTTGGCGCTGTACTATTTCAGCTTTCTAATTTTTAATTTCAGTGCAAACGAGAGTTGATATTTGTAAGTGATGTATCACTGATGAGTTGCCAGGAATGTATGGCCCTTATTTCGTCTCTATTTTTGATTACGTACTCGATGTTATTGCTTAATAATAACATCAAATTCGATTTTATTGAAAAACAAAACGATTTGATTGGATCTCAATTCTAATATCAGTCGAGATGAAGTTTTATTCGAAATGAAATGTCATAGCCATTGACTTACAAATAAATGGACGACGGGTCTAATACAAAAACCACGAAAAAATGTCCCAAGTCAACCTATTCGAAATTTAAATTGTAATGTCATCGCAGTATCGCGCTGTCAGTAGAACAAATGAAGACTAAAGCGGAGTGTCGCGCTCTGTATACGATTTTAGCGCCTTACAAGTGCGGACACTTTTTAGCGCGGACCCGACGTCCATATAATTGTAAGTCAATGGTCATAGCAAACAATTTTGGCAAATTTCACACGTTAGTACTTGATATGGAACGATATGATAGTTGGGGCCGACTCTAGTTTGTCTATGAATTATATAAAAACTACGGTTGTGTGACATGCGTGAGATAACTTTTATTTGCCGCCATTTTGCCAGTCGTAACATGCGGTTCATGAACACATCATAGAGAGCTTATAATATGTGTATACATAAAGGAGTGAATGTAACTGTACATAATTAGGCATTTAAAACACTCGTGTGATGTTTTTATGAAACCCGTTACGTTTATAATATCCTATTTTTGGGGTAAGTAAAGTTGGATGGTTTCTAATAAATTTGTACAACTGTACTAATAAATCGAGTATATAACCAGAAATAGAGACAATATAAGGGCCATACGTCTCTGACAACTCATCAAGCAAATGGGTTTTATATTACTTTTAAATGTCAACTCTCGTTTGCACTGAAATCACTAATTAGAAAGCTGAAATAGTACAGCGCCAACAATTGACCTGTGTGTACGTCTCCGTATATTCCAAAAATATTTTGTATTTATTGTAATAAACAACGGGGGATTGTTCAATTCGGTGGCGTGGGAAAAACAGCAAAACTTCTAATTACAAAACAAACGGAATCACATTTCATCGGTAATTAAATATGTAATTTTTCAATTTTCGTCCATTATAGCAAAGCTCAAGTGAAACTGGTGGATTTGAAGTGAAACAATTGACGACACCCGTCAATTGTTTCGAATTCGGGTTGATCAATCGGAACGCAATTAAGAACGGAATGATTTGGTAGAATAGTTTTCAAACAAATTAAATGACATTTCGTCTCTATTTCTGGTTATATACTCGATGTGTGACAATGAAATAAAAAAATAAATGAAGTTATGATATAAGTACTAAAATGACTAATTATACTTTGGGTATTTTAAAGCGATTAATGTAATCGGAAGACATTAAGTCAATATTGACCATCGAACGATACACTCCTCTTCACGACATTAGTATTGAAGATAAGTAATAGCTGTAAGCGTAAATTGTGATTGTAAATATATATTTTAAGGCATAATGCAGTATGTCGTGTTAGGTCCCATTTTATAAGAATAAGTATTTTAGCATGTTAGACTACTAAAAATGTGATTATTATTACAAACGAGAATTATATCAAATTAAGTTATAAGAAGTGTTATTAGTACAAGTGAAAATTATGCTAAATGAGCGTAACATCTATTAAAATTGGTTTATTTGATTTTCACACAAATGAGCCTCACGCTTGTATGTGGAATTACATCTATTATTAAAATCGGTTAGCGGAAAGTGGGTGAAAGCCATTGAAACGAATTTATCCCCTAATTTGCCACCCTTAGGGGGTGGAATATTTTCACAAATGCCAGACTAGTCGCGTAGTATGCACACAAAATACAGTAGAATTGTGAACCTCATCCTTTTTTTAAAGTCGGTTAATAAATATTAGAGCGCGTTCCCATTATATCATTACGATTCCATCGCTGCACTAGGTTCCTTCGCGTTTGGATACCACTTTCCACTTAACATCAGGTGGAGTGGAGTCATTTGCCTGTCATGTATATAAAAAAAAAAAAAAAAAAAAAAATTACGTCTTATTTATCGTTGGACGACTGTCACGTCTAGCCTGGAGGTCGATTCAGGACCTTACAATAACTCAGTTGTCTACCGATTCTATTTGATATCGTATCGTGTCGTATTCGAAACGATTATTATTATTATTACTCGAACTTCTCGACCGGCAAAGGGTACGAACGATATTCGGAACACAGTTATCGAATGAAAATTACCGATCGCCCTATTGTTTACAAGGCAAGAATGTGATATGGAAATCTCTTATTATTTTAAATAAAAACTGGATTTTGTTCAATTTTATTAATTTATTCGAATGCAAGACTAATGCGTTCCTGTATTTTAGGCCTTTAGGCTCAACTCATAGAGTGGAAGCGTCACGACGCGTCATGATTTTATTAAATGTATACGCTTCTATAACAAGATTCCGGTTGATATACAAAATTTGCCTTTCACGAGGTTTAAAACTATAGTGAAACAAAAACTTTATACTAAAGGTTATTATACAACTTCTGCGTACTTGGATGACAAAAATCCGTGGTAGTAACCCGTTTAGCTCATGGAGGTAGTCTCGATCTCTGATGTTTCAAATAAAAAAAAAATATTGTAAATGTTATTTACAAAGAGCAACCCCTAGAGTTTCTTGCTCATACTTCTCAGGGGAATCTGCCTTACGAATGAGCGGTAGAGTTTAACCATTGTGACGATTTCAAGTGTAATAATGCTTACCTATGAAATAAAGATTATTTTGATTTTGATTTTTGATTTTTAAAATATCGAAGAGTCCTGAATCGGGGTCCAGTTCCCATATTACGACTATCTGCCGTGACTGTGTCTTGGACGTATATTTTATCCTTGAACGACTGTCACGTCTAGCTGTTCCCACTAGATCGTGACGACAATTTATCGGTTCATGGCAGCAGCCTTGTCGTTCGCACGACAAACTGTCGTCACATTTTTAACCGACTTCAAAAAAAGGAGGAGGTTCTCAATTCGACTGTATGTTTCTTTTTTTTTGTATGTATGTTACGCGATAACTCCGGTATTTGTGAACCGATTTTTATGATTCTTTTTTTGTTGGAAAGAGGGTACCTCCATAGTGGTCCCATTCCATTTTGAAGAAAATCATCCACCTCTAAGGGTGGCTGATCACGCATGAACATTCATTTTTATAAATAGCGCCTACATTTTACTTAAAGAGCAATTATTTTAATGGTTGGTTTTGCTATTCTCCAATTCAAGGCGTTTCTCTCTCTCAATATACTTTGAGTAGTAAGAACCGATTTTTATTATCTCCTGTGTCAAGTCCTGTATAGTGGTGAACTAGGGGATATTTCAATAAAACTTGGCAAATAGATGTACTTCCACGTACTTTTGAGGTCGGTTTTTTTAGTACTCTGTACTGAGATTATTATCATTACGTTTTATTTATCTTCGGACGACTGTGGTTCTAGCTCTTCCCATTGTCACAAGTCTGTCGTCGTAACATCGAAAAAGTCTTGAACGACAGTGAATCGTGTTGGTCTATGTGCGAACAACCTTATTTAAATATACTAGCCACGACACGAAATACAATAATCTTTTCTCCCCCTGTAAAGATTCTAAAACGTAACTATAGAAGTCTACACATTTTGAAGCGTCCTTTCAGTACTCTAGGTATATACCATTCAGGGTCCCACTGTATGATAATCAAAATATATAATGCGATCCCAATAAATATAAAAACACAAGATACGCATAAAGCCTTTGTAACCCATCTAAAGAGTAAACCTACCTACAAACTAAAGCTTTTTAGAAAATAGTGCTTATAAACGAATTACCAAGTACATAATTTGCAAAAGTATGTCAAATAGCCAGACATAAGTGTACCAGTATATTGTTGATATTGCCT